ACCTCTTCCACGTGTCCCAGAGCAACGAGCTATGGTTCTGGTAGACATGGGCTGGAGGGGAGGGAGAGCAGCCGCTGGACAACCTCTCCCAACAGCTGGACGTCACGTCCTTCTCCTTTCTGCTGGCCACAAGCAAAGGCTTAATTTCTAACCAGACTTCAAAAGAACGGCAGAAGTGCAGCAGCCAGCCCGGCTGCAGGCTGACAGATCCTTGCAAGCCCAGGAAGAGGACTTGGATTTGCCACGTCCGTGCTCAACAAACGCCTTGTTGGCATGAGCCACAGAGCTGACCCCGGGTCCCAGAGCAGCTCCCGCAGCGCCAAGCACTGCAGATACCACTTCTGGTGTTCACACGGGTGGGAGAATACGGGCACTGTGGGAGGCAAGGGAGCAAGAAGGAAGACCCGGTAGCAGTAAGTCTTCCCAAGAGAAGCTGGCTCTGAGAGCACATCGAGGGATGCGTGCGAAACAGACGGCTGCCCCCCCCGCTCACAGGAGAGCCTGACCGACCGCTCACGCGACCCTGGAAGTCTGGAATCAGTTTTTGTTAAACACCTGAGAGGATGGGATCACAGAGCAGCAGGAGAAATCATCTGGAACAAGATGGTACCAAGAGGAACCACAAGGAACAAGATTTGGCTCCCCAGCTACACGAGAGATGTCCACAAACTGGAATGCATCCAGCGGAGGCCACCAAGACGGTGAGAGCCTGGAGTACAAGGCGTACGAGGTGGATACGCTTCCCTGAAACACTTATCCCAGCTACTCCAATGCCTCCAACTCCCGAATCAATCCCTGGTCTCACTCCAAAGTTCTCCCATCTTACTGTCGATGTGACTGCTCTCACCCACTGCTTGTGACTACAGCACGGACCCTTGGCCATAGTGAGAAAAGCCTGGCGACGTAAGTCAGCTCCACGAAGCTCCCTCTGCAGAACCACTGAAGGACACTTTAACCAAGGCTCTGGGTCTGGAGTTCCCAAAATGTTAACAGGCAGGGCACTGGGCTCCAACCCAAAGCCCATGATGTGCAGGGCTGCAGTTCACCACCCCTGAAAGCAGGTTTCCACCAGGTCCCCGTGAAATGTTATCCTTCTGAGAGGCCCTGCTGCAATGCAGAGTGTGAGGAAGGCAGGTGGAGTGGGTGGTGTCCAGAGTAGACAGCTTGGAGGGTGCTTCCCACTGTGTAGGTTACCGCTCTTTGGTGGTCACACTGGGCTCATCAGTTGAGAGTCGAGGCCCTCTGAGCATGCAGGCACGGCAGGGCTGGAAGAGGTTTAGTTGGTGGAGCTGCGGCATTTCACATGTCCTGGGGAGGACGCCACGGCTAGAGAGCCTCTCCCAGGGCTGCATGGTGAGAAATGTTTCCTGTGAGCAGTGTCTGGCTGTGGTTTGGACACCCCTCTTCCAGGATCTCAAGTCAGCCCAGCAGAGCAACCTACGGGTCACCCTCATGAGATGGAAGTCCTACGTCCAATGCTATCAGCGTGATTGTAACGCTGGGCCACAGCTGAGACCTTCTCGCCCTCACCCAGAAGCGTGAAGCCAGCAGTTTCTGCTAAGGGCTCTCCAGTTGTTTACACGGTTTTACTGCAGGACTCTTGGGAGAGGTGACACTGTGAGGGACTGCCCAGATGAAGAGGAGTCTTACCTGTTTCTGAGCAAAGCACGAGGCACATGGAATAACAAATCCCAAATCACTTTTGTGAAAGTAATTTTTAAATTGTATGAAGCCTCTGGTTAGGTGTACCACCACATTCAAAGTTAAAGATCTCAATTCAATTTAGTTCTGTTTTTTCAAATGACCGCAAGAATTCAAACCAAGTCTCAGCTGACAGAAACCATCAAGGAGCACCCAGGGACACTCAAAGATCAAGAGGCTTTGAAAAATAACCTGGGAAAACCAAGTCAGAAATGTCATCTAGGAATCAGTGGTAGGTTGAAGCCTGTACCTCCACCACACACCACAAACACGTTTCTCTTCTCCACACTGAGTCACGACTGCGTTAGTCAGAATCTGAGCACAACAAGCAGAAACTGCTAGTCAAACTGCAAGAACACTTGAAATAAGAAAAAAACAAAAAATCAAGCAAGGAACAGGTATGGGACAGATATGTCACAGCAGAAAAGCGTTTGCGCTCCCCAAAAACCAGAATCAGGACACCAGGTACAAGAGCTGGCGAGCTGCTGGCAGCAGCAATGAGTGTGGTTACGGCTGCGAGGCCAGTTAGGAACTGGGCGCGAGGGGAAAGGGAAAAACCTCAGCCTAGCGCTACTGCGTCCAGCGCACGAAGTGGAAAGCATCGCTGCTGTCTGGTCCACAGGGATCTACTGCCACCACACGATGCACGTCGTCAGTGGCAGGAGCAGTGACTCAGCCCTGCTACGTCCAATTAACCTTCATTAAGACCGTGGCCTCTCAGCACTAACCATGACACAACCGCAAGATGGTTTCTACCGTGGGGAGGGTGTCCATGAGAAGCCAGAGAGACCATCACACCACGCAGCTCCTGGCACCAGAATAAGCAGGCATCTAGGAGCATCTCTTGGGGTTTTTTTGTAGTAAAAGGGAAACCAAACCAAAACGAATGGTCTAGGATAGTCAGCACAGCTTTGCTGAGAGACCAAGTGGGGCGTTAACGTGACATATGACAGAGACTTGGCTTAAATCACCACAAAGAGAAGGAACAAAGAAAACCAAAGAAAACTCAGAAAGAGATGAAGATGGTGCTGCTACAAAGATGAAAGAGAGGTCCGACTGCAGCCAGACAGCAGCAAGGTAAATGAAGACCAACAGCAGAGGAAGTCGCCAAATGTGAAAGGCAAAGCCAGGTCTAGAGTGTTCCCAACTCAAGAATCCACATCAGCCCTAAGCCTTGGTCTAAGAAATGGAGAGCCTGCAGAAAAACGCCTCACCAGGCCAAGTTCACACGCTGCCTTAGGTCCAGGCACAGCACCAGGGCACGATGGGTTAGGCTGGGCAGCCTGGCAGCTCCGGCATCACGGGCTCCAGAAAAGACGCCTGCCCACCGAGTCAAACTGTCTCTGCAACCGCAGCGAGGCAAGGGCTGCAGGCTGGCGTAACATCCGTCACTGGGACAACGAGCAGAGTTGAAAATCAATAGATGAGCTTTCAGCACACGAGCTGTTCCCCAGAATTGAAACCAAAGCCCCAGATTTGCAAGTTAAATTCTTCTGCTTAGTGCAGTCCTCTGCTCCTATCTGCCTAAAGAACGGCTTCGGTCTGCAGAGCTCCCTCTGCTTTTTTCAATTCTATGAGTTCATCTAATAAAAATATCCCCTCCATCTCTAAACCTTGTGGTGCCTGTTTTCTTAGACCACCATGGCTCTAGAACTGCTTCAAAACCTTCACCAGAAGGTAGCGAGAGGCATTCCCAACCACCTCCAACGCCATCGGCACGTTCACTGCCACAGTCACCTTCTGCAGCACAGGGGACACCTCTGCCCCCGCTCTGCCTTCATTTCAGACCTCGTGTCCCAGCTGCAAATCCTTAAAGCTCTGGGCCACCGCACAGAGGTCACACACCACCTTCCTTCCTTCCATCCTTCCTTCCTTCAGTGGCACACAAGCTCTCTCACTGACGGAAGCCCCGGCACAGGTTAACCTCCATTTTTAGGGCAAACTTACCGTAGAATCATAGAATCATTAAGGTTCGAAAAGACCTCTAAGATCATCGAGTCCAACTGTCAACCCAACACCACCATGCCTACTAAACCATGTCCCGAAGTGCCACATCTACACGGTTTTTGAACACCACCAGGGATGGAACTTCAACACAAGCTGTTCGTCTTTCGCTGACCCTTCAAAAAAATTAAAAATTTCAAGAAAAGCCGTAACGTACATGTTGGGTCTGGGCTCCCTGGGGTTCTCTCCACAGCTACAGACCTAAAATTCATTTGGTGCAGAGTTACAATTCCTCCCGTGCACCGGGGTGACCCTGAAGTCTCCCAACAGTACGCCAGAGGACGCAGAGCCCGGGGTGCCGCTGCGCAGCCTCACCATACACGCTCAGAAACGCAGAGGGTCTGAATGCCAAAAGCTTAGCAGCACTTCAGTCCACGGGCCTGATACCACAGCAGGGACACGTTAGTCCATCTTACTTGGAGGTTACTCACCCACAGATCCTTGCTGGTCGCTTTTGGACCTGAAACTCAAATAATTTTTGTAGTAATCCTTAAAGAAACACTGCTGCTCCCTTCTGAGTGGCTCAGACCTTACAAAGCCAAGACTGACCCTAGCCCCGGCTCAGACCTTACAAAGCCGAGACTGACCCTAACCCCAGCTCAGACCTTACAAAGCCAGGACTGACCCCAGCCCCAGCTCAGACCTTACAAAGCCAAGACTGACCCCAGCCCCAGCTCAGACCTTACAAAGCCAAGACTGACCCTAACCCACAACCTGATCTTGGCATGTGCTCCCTGCAAGGGTGAGCACAGCCCAGAGCAGTGTTCTCACGACACTTCCCAAACTCAGCAGCGCTCATCCAGCTCAGCGTTACGCAGGGGTCAGTAAATACCGTGATTACCGAGTCTCGGTGACACAGCCCTCCTACATGGAGAAAAAGGGGGATCTGTGATTTAACACAAAAACCAACAGCCCAACCGGGCAGCAGCCATGGATGTTTCCTGCAGGCTAACGTGACCTGCTTTACCAACACAGCGGGAGATGGCTTCATATTCGCCAGTCCTGTCCCTCTAGCTGCTGCGAGAGCTGGATTTACCTATTCCTCAGGGCTGTGAGATGCTTCTACAGCATGGCCACTAACACAGGCAATGTCAGGGCTGCTACTCTTCCCACTCACAAAGACAAGTGTTGGAGAGCCTTGTGCTCTCAGAGAGGTGTGCGCCCTGAGGGACCAAGCTTCTCCAACTCCCCTCATTAGTGCGTGATGGGACCTACCTCACCAGGTCTCCTGCGGGGCTGTATGATGCATATGGCTGGGACCGAGTCTGTGGGCAATAAATACATCAATGACTTTGTGGAGGTGGAAGAGACCTTTTTAATAAACAGGTTTCAAATAAAATTAAAAAAAAAAAATCCCTCTGAACTGCCACTGCGAGAAGAGTTCAGGTAACTAGCACAGAAGATGCTGCTGTATGTGCACGATGGAGGGAGAAGGGAAGAAAAGAACAAGCTGTCACCAACTTGATGAGCTTCCTCAGTAAATCAGCAGAAACCAGCTCAGCAAAACTCTCCAGATAAAATACTGGTGGATCCATGAGAAACAACTCAAATCAAAACAAAGAGAAATCCCTACATCGGAAGGTGCTACATTAGAATAACCAGCGAAATACTGAGTGCCGCTGGAGCCGCAGCAATGGCAGGGAGACAGGTAAGGTCTGCCAGTCGTTCCTGGGGTCAGGAACAGCCACACAGTGAGGGACTCACTCGATCCTTTCACGGGCAGCGTGTGTGTGTGTGCTAGAGGGGGTGTTGGTGGCAGGGAGGTCAGGCTATCGAACGAGGTGGTGGTGTAGAGTGGCAGCAACGGAGGGTGAAGGGCAGCACTCAACGATGTCAACTCCATCTTGCTCTGGTGGCTAGTGCAAATAGTCGTCTACTCTGGCAAAGGAGCAGGAGCCCAAGCCCACGCGAGCCATGAGCCGCAAACACTCCGAGGCCTGGCCCAGGGCAAGCATCAGCGGGGGCTGCTTTGGCAGGTTCTGAGATTCTGTGGGGGCAAAAAAAGAAATCCGTTTAGAAGAGGCATCCTGGCTGCATGCCGGCTCACCTGCACTCGGGTCCCTCTCAGTCCCATCTGGGCACCAAGCCCAGCATCCCTGGCAGAAGCCACTGGCTCTGGAAGGAAGCTGCTCCCGAGTACTGCTGGCTCCACACAGTCCTGCCCACCCATGGCAAGTCCCACCTGGGGCCACAGCTCAACAGGGCCTTTGAGAAAGTGCTGCTGTGGTGGCCAGAGTAAGAAAAAGGCAGTGGAGCTCCTGCTGCCTCGGCATCTGCCAGAAAACCCTCAAAGCATGAGAGATCAAAGCCTGGAAGAATAAGGAAAGGCTGGACAAACTGGCACCCAGTGAGAGGCGACCTCTCCATCTCTCCCACTTGTGCAAGTCTACACACTAGTCCAAGCCCCAGACAAACCCTCCGCTTGTTTTCAACTTCATGTTTGCCGTGTATGCGAGAGGGAATCCTCTGCTGAGCTAGACCAGGTGTCCTGCAACCTGTGTGACGAAGCATGTTCAGACACCATCTTTCATGTCTCCCAGGTGACAGCCCTCAGCAACTTGTCCATGCACCTCATGCACCGGCCAAACAATGGCCAGAGCTGACCACCCTGCCGGACACCTGCCCATGCCGACTGTCAGGGGAAGGGACTCTCCTTCCCAAGCCCTACCATTATTTCTGTGCCTTTACTCAGACAGAACAGGAGCCTTCATGGGTTTGTCCATCAAGCTGTTCCATCCCCCAGAAGATAATCTCCAAATCTCCTTCTGGCACACTCAACACGAGGTGCACAGACCCACCAGGAAATACGTCTGGGCACGGTGAGCTGGCCTGTGCACAGGAGACAGGCGTGGGCTTCCCAGACAGAGAAGCTGTCCAGTGGACAGTGTTTGGCCAGCTGTGGATGGACTGAGCTAGACTAGGCCTGCCTAGAATTAATCAATCCCCTTCTTGCAGACTGGTGGCATAACTTCATTATCACTACACCCATTTCACCACCATGGAGCTTTCTGTAGCTGAAGATACCAGGAGGGTCAGCAATGACATGGCAACTCATTGATTGCAAGCACAAGCCCTCCATCAGGGAAAGCTACTGCATTTACTACAGTAGGTTTAAGGCTGGAGAGTAAACTACAAGAAGCTGTTGGGCCAAGGAAGATGCTTGTGTAATAAAAATGGAAGAGCAGGCATAAACACTGAGCTCTAAGGACACGGAGGAGCGCATGAGACTGCTCATACCTGGATCCAACCATGATCCATCCTGCTGACACAAAGAGCAAAGCTCATCAGAAAAAGGGGAGCTGTCTTGCTAGCTGGAGAAAACCAACCAATAACCGATCTCTGCACAGAGCGGGGCATCTCAGCACAGTTAAGACCAGAAGGGAAAGAGCAGCAGGGCTGGACCGTTACCACAGCCCCGATTCCAACGCTGGACCGCAGGCAGCCAGGCTCTCTGGGCTCCAGCAGGCACTGCACATGATGGGAACATGCAGAGGCAACGCTCGAAGGGAAGACAGACCCTGCCTGCATTTCACTCCACACGTTCAGCACGAGCTCAAAGGTAACTGGAATTACGGCTCCCCTCTGCTTTAGAGCCAACACTGTGGAAACCGGCTTCACTTTGGAGCTGCTGCAACAGAGCAACTGCATTCCCTGCCAGAAAGTAGGACGATGCCAGGACAAAACTCTGCCAACCCAAAGAGCACGGAAAAGAGCCCTGGTAATGCCAGCAAAATGATTCAGGTGGGTTCAGAGCAAGAAGGAAGAGGGGCAGGAAATGCATCAGAGAGATCTTTGCTTCTTCAGAAAATCCTAAGGAGCATCCTTGGAAGCAGCATTGAGGAAGACTCAAGGAAGGGAGCCAAAAGCAGATCAGATCAGGAGGATCTGCTGGCTTCCCCCATCTCCTCCCATCCTGCATCACTGCCCTGTCAGTCCCCAGCAAGAGAAAGAGAGGCAAAAGCTAAACACAAGGATTTCTGAACTCTTCCTAACACAGGCTTGCCTGCCAGAGGACAGCCCTCGAGAGCAGGTTTGTCCAGTGGCAGTGCTCACATAGGAACCAGGTCTTACCCAATATAGCACTATTAAGAGCAGCACACACAGGTTCCCTCTGGATCGGGTCCAGCTGTTGACCAACGGGGCAGTTCCAAGGGTCTGAGTAAGCTAACAAGCTAAATGCGTCCTGCGTGAGAGAAGAGAAAGGCACAGTAAGGTCATGCATGGCTGCAAACACACGGGAAAACCGCCAGGTCCGTCAGCCGGGGCACCTCCTGCCATCGCCAAGGTGACAGGCGCCTACCTCCTAAAAAGAAATGGCCCTTTTCTTCTCAGCAGTGAAGGACCCCAGTGGGCCATCAAGATAGTGGATTAAAGGGGGGGCCCCCTCCACCTGGCAGGGGAGCCAGCACGGGAAGGCAGGCAGAGTGTCACCTGGAGAGAAGAAGAGCGAAGGCAGGCAGGAACTGTGTTTCTTTTCTCCTGTGCCGAGAACTGGGTCTAGATGCTCTAAGTTCACCGAGTTTTGACCTCTGATCCCCAGGCAGGCCCCTTCTTCCTCACCAGGTGCAGAAGCCGGGGTTGCCCAAAGCTCTGCAAGAGGACCCGCAACCCCGGCCCTGGCGCAGAGAACCGCTGCGACGGAGCACAAGGTCCAGGCTTACCTGAAGCATCTTTTTGTGCACCGTGTTCTTCCCGTATTCTCTGCAAAGCTGCTCACTCAGCATCTGCAGCTCCCGTCCAAACTGGATCATTCGTTCCGTGGCAGCGTGGTTCCCTCCACAGAGCTGCCTCTGGGGACAGCTGTCTTCTAGAGGAAAGGCAGTGGAGAATTAACAACCATCCCTTGTTCCCCACCACTGCCCACTCTGTGTCACGCTACCCATGAACTCCTTCCCCTTCTGGAGCAGGCAGCTGCTCCCTGCTCTAACTTTATCCCAGTGGAAGCTTTTCCTGCACTGCCACAGCCAGGCGTGGTTTTTTCAGAGCCCCAGAGATACTGGGAAAACTTGAGCTCAGTTTGTTTAATGCCTGAGGACTACCTACAGATCAAGTATTCTGATAAAATCACGGCAGCTTGCAACTCCAGCTGCGTTACCCCTTCATGTGTGTCGTACAGCGTACACAGCACGGAAACGCCTGGTCTAACAAATCCTGGCCTCACAAAACTTTCAGTAGAGATGCCACCACCAACAACCTCCCAGTATTAGGTGGCCAAATAACTGGAGGAATCCCCAGTTTCAGAGGTGGTGTCGCTGATTCATCCTCTCCCTCCCGGCTAAAGCACCCACAAACACAACACTTAGAGCTGACCACACTGCGCTGAGGACACTTTGAGCCTTGCACAGCTCGGTTCAGTTCCTCAGCTGGAAGAAGCGCCAGGACTGCTCTGAGCTGGAGTTCATGACCAGTGCTGAACAAACCTTTGACTCCTATCGCTTGCCCTGCTCCACTGCTGCGAGACTATGGAAAGCCAGACCTAGTTTTAATTCCAAGACAGATTCATCTTCCTGGTGAAACAGATATCTTGAGAACTTCATTCACTGGGGTGGGGAAAGAAACCCAAAGTACATGGGTTTTCCCCACAATCCAATCACAACTTTAAGTCTCAATACCAGCTAATTCTATTTCCCTTTTCCCCTCCCGCCTCTGAGGCCCTACCCATGCTGGATTCATCCGTCTGCAGGATCTCTTCATGTTTGTAGGTGCCATTCATTATCCTGGTGGATGAATTTTCCAAGACTCCATTGGGGTAGTGCTCAGCCTCCATTTCCATCTCGCTGTCACTGAGGTGAAAGGATGAAATAAAGGTCAGATATCTAAATTAGGGAAGAAATGAAGAGCTCAGATGCCAGCAAACAGCAGCCAGACAACAGATAACATACTAACATACTAAACAGGAGGGAAGTCTTGGCCACGGTAAGCCAAAGTTGCAAAAAGCGCAGTGCGGAACACACAGGGGCTCCAGGCTTAAACGTTCAAGACAGCAGTCTGAATTAGATGAGAATATCTTGCTGGGACTTGGGCTCTACATTTAAAAAACAAATCCTAAATCCAGCTTTATCAAATGATCCTGGACAATGGTAATTGAGTCTGAACAAGTGTTTCTCACTCAGTAATGTGCTATACGGCTTTCAAGAGGTCCTGATAGAGACTACAAACTGTCCTGCAAACTGTGCTCAGCACAGTACTCAGAGGAGCAGTGCCAGCTGCAATTAGCAAGAGATTCTCCTAATCACAAGGACATCCTCTGCTCCAGCAGGGCCCCGGGCAGCCCTGCAACACCAACCTGGAAAGTGAGCCCAAAGGAAGCTCAGTTCTCACCACGGCTCAATACGTTCCACACTCCAGTAAACACAGCAGTAACTCTACCGCTCTCCTGGACTGTCTATGCCTCCTGGGAGAAGGGAGGCTTTCTAAAGCTCTGACTTGCTGTCACAAGTACGATACAAATTACTGTTGATTCAGAGGCTCATCTGGAAGGAGCTGGGCAACAGGTAGAGGGAGCCAAGAAAAATACTCGAGAGGGCAGTGCACCAACCCAGTATTCACTGGAGCTGCTGCCTCACCCCTAAAGGGCGGGCAAGCTGCTTCGAGCAGTCATCGGCTGGCTGAGGCAGGAGCAATGGCTCAACGGCAGAGCTTCTGTGCAAGCTATCGTGTTGGGCTCTGACGGCATCAGTCCCGTGGGACAGCTCAGTGTTTGAAACAAGAGCATCATAATATTCCTTAGGAGACGAGCCTCCAAGCCTGGGCCAGAGTAGGAGAACGGGAACAGGTTTGCATCTGCTGGGAATAGTAGTGACCTTGTAGATAACAAAGAGTTACTCTGTTGTTCAGAAGAGCAGGAGAGATGCCCTTCAGAAAGCAGACTGAGCCTTCTCCCACCATCTCACCCTCCTCAGGCATCTATAAAAGAAAAAGAAATACCTGGTTTCTTGGTTACTCGTACTACTGTGCTGCTGAGATTTGGTAGAATCTGTAGAATTGGACTCAGAGTAGTTCACAGATGAGGGGGAGGAGGAGGAGGAAGATGAAGATGATGAACTCAGCGTTGGGTATTTACTGTGACTCTGTTTGCTTTTTGTGGACATGACTCCATTGCTACAGGTTGGACTATCTGCTCCTGAAAGTCACGAAGAAAGGGAAAAATGAGACCAGACTGACAATATCACTCTATTGTGAAGTCAACAATTTAGCAAGAGAGGAGGTCCCAAAGGAAGAAAGTAAGAATTAAATCATTAATCATCATTCTTAAATTCAATGGGGTTTAGAGAAAGCACAAATGAATGTGGAAGGAACCGCACTGCTCACCAGCAACATCTGAGCTTAAGGAAGCTCCAAAAATGGGCTGTAAATAAAAAATCGGCAGAAGCAGCTCACATAAGCACAGAAATTATTGTTGAAATAGGAAGTGTGGATGGTTTGTAAAGAAGTTCACAAACTCTCTTCTCACAAACCCAAATATTTCTCATAAACCCTCTATCACAGAAAACTACGAAAGCACAGTTGAAAACTGGGCCACAAGAATTCTTTGCAAGCAGAATTTCCCAGGCTTTCCACAACCTATCTTGTATTAGGCATATACTTGATTCATGCAACACTTGGCAAATAACAACAACCCTCTTAAAAATCACAAGCTAACTTCTTCATTCAGGAGAACGGACATCAATGAAAGGAGAGCCAGGCTTGAAATCTCATTGCCCCCCCCAGCTTCCCAAAAGGGGGGAATCACGCTCTGGAACTCACTGACACAGGACACAAACCTTCGGTCATTAGCACAAGTTTTATATGGATTCAAAAACGACTGGCTATTAAATACCAAGACAACGGAAAATCATTAGGAGCTCAAATAATGTTTTGGAAAAACCTCACTACGGGCTTGCCTTCTTCCTATATTCTTCCCTAGGCAACCAATATTGACCACAAGTTCTTGACTAAATGATGTGGCCCGGCATGGCGGCTCTCCAGAAGTGATGGTGATGTATCCAAATTCATCAGCTGATCTCACCATTGTATTTATAGCTAGGGAATTGATTTGTATTTTTATCCCAACAACACAAAGATTCAAACTACAGGCCGTTTTGTGCATTTGAACAGCAACGACGCAGTAGACTGTGCACGACAGTCTTGCTTAATCTTTGAAACAGGCACTGATGAAATTATCACTATTTTGAAAGCACAAGGTCTGACAGAGAGAACTGTGGAAGGTGGAGTCCCATGTATGGAGACAAATATATATGAATGCTGCTTTGTGTTGCAGGTTTTTTTATGTAGGCATCTCCCGGCTGAAAAGAGGTATCAACGAGAGCTTTTATGGACTGATGGGGTCATTCTGACTACCTAGTCAGAGAAAGATACCCAGGGTTTCTTGCAACACAATATAGGAAAATAAAGATACTGTCTTGGGAAGGTGAGTGGCAGCTCGGAGGCGTTCTACTAATTGTCTTCCTTCCCCGTCAATGTTTGCCTGTCCACAGTTTGTCACATGCAGCAGCGGGAATACCGAAACAAAATGCGCTCAGAGGCTGCGAGCAGCTCAAGGCTCGGTGAAGCAGCTCGGCTGTTTCCAGGGGCTCTGCAGGCCATAGTCCCTGGCCCGCCCCATCCATCCTCAAAGCTGTCGTCAGTAATTACCAAGGGAAGACAGCTTGGGTGTCTTGGTTCATGTCGTTCTTTCCACTTCAAATCCTAAAGTTTCATTTTTGCAAACTGCAGAAAGTTGATGCTTCAGGGTTTTGCAGGTACAGAACTGTTCCCTCCTCACATGTTTAGAGATTGCAAGGTAGAGTCCATGGCAGAAGGAGAAGCTCCCATACAAGGCATCCCCCTAACCTTTTGCTCCGTTGGCCAGAACAGTGCTGCTTCTGCTCGATCCTTACTGGAAAGCAATTCTTTTGCAGACTCTAGGGTACAGGAGGCTTTGTTTTCCAGAGCTCCTCTTACAGCTCAGTCAGTGAAACACTGAGTCACTACTGGCTGCACTAGAAGGCCACCTTCAAAAGCTTCCTTATTCTGAAAAAAATCTGCTCTGCAGACAATTATCTGTGGAAAATAACTAATGCAAACCCAATTCTGTAACAGTACAGACACCCAGGATAACAGTATGTCCTCTCAGCTGGGTATCAGAAAGGAGCAGAGCATTTCATAGAATAATGCACAGAAAGTAGCAGGTAAGGGACAGCAGTCACCTTTAACATTTGCTCTTCTCACCAGGAAACACAGAAAACACACTTACCGGTACTATGCACGTGTGAGTTGCTTGATCCATGTCTAGGACTTAAGCTGGGGGACCCGGGGTAACTGTCCTGGGATCTGGGGCTGCGGGCACTGAAACAACGGACTTCACTGTCTGTCCCATTCACCATCTCCACAAACTGCCGACACCTGATTTCATAGGAGGGAAGAAGGAGAAAAGGGTGCGTGACAGCCAGGATGCTCTGCATTGAGGTTTTTTGAGTTAAATTTCTTGGCTTTGAAAAAGACATTTCAGACTCCTGGTACCTTTGTATCGCGAGCGCTCTGACAATGCTATGGGAGGAAGGAGTTCAGAACCTGCAACTTTGATGCTAATGAATGTTGAGATGTTCCCAAAAAGCAAGTTTATTTCCATTGTGCTAAGAAGAAACTGTTCCTTTCCAGCATGCTTTCATCTCCACTACCTCTGCAGGAACTCCAAAACTTGACCGTGGGTTTTTTTTCAGGGACATGATAGTAAATCTGCCAAACATCATAGTTCCCCCACTACTCCGTCAACCTAGAAATGCTGGCGGCCAATGGCAAATAGACAAGGAAGGGTAAAAAATGCAATATCCACAGTGCCAGGACAGGTCCCTGTTTAGCTTTGCTGGGAACTGTCCTTACACATCCCAGGAGGGTGGGGAGAGCCACTCTGTATGGCTGGCAGAACTGGGACACACAGGCACTTTTTTCCTTTTACTCTCTACCCCAGATAGCTTTTTCCATACATCTGCCTTTCTAGGAACCTTCACAGTGACTGCCCTGTGCTCCAGTGTTGCAAGAAGACAAGTAAAGGCCATCTGTGAAGGAGTTTCTGGCGGTCTGCAGAACTAAAATTTCACCCACCTCTGCCTGCCCTCCTGAGGCAATGCCATACTGGATCTGAGCAGCAACAAAAGGGCTACGTCTACATTGCTACAAGCACTGTGCAAAGGACTGAACCGATGTCCTCTCCCACCTGCTCCCAAAAGGATCTCAAACAGTTTGAATTCAGACCAAGCCGTGCAGCCGGACTGGATGGCTGGACAGCTTCTGTCTTCTCTCCTTCACCTACACATTTCAGCATTAGGGAGTATAAAGCTATTCATACTTACTTTAACATGAAGAGCAGGTTGGGGTTATGTTCTAGGAGGCCAGGATAGAGCTGCTGGGTGGCTTCTATAGCCTCTCCCACTCTGCCTGCTAATACTAGCTTCTGTATTCCTGAAAGCAAAAGGAGACCTATTGACACACAGGACTGGCCAACAAGAATGGCCAGAAGAGTTGTCTCACGTACGCCACACAGCTCCCCACTATCACCTTGCACAAGGGCTAGGGAGAACCGGGGACCGCGTTCTGTTTATTATGGATTAGGATGAGGAAAAAGCCTGTGAAAATGAGGGAGAATCTGTTAGTGGCTCAGAAACACCAAGAGGATCTGAGAGATGAAGCGGGTGTGCTGGGGTGGGGTGTTCTGGGACTTTAGTCCTTCAGCCACAGAACTATGCAGCGATGGAAAAGAAAGCAGGACATGACAGCTGGATGGGAACAAGGAGGCTGCTGGGGAAATGCCAATTTCAGAGGGGAATCCCCTAGGTCACCCCCACGTTACATCCTCCAGCTGGTCCAAGATTACTGTATGGCTGACCACCAGATGAACAGAGCATTCTCAGAGGGCCTAAACCACAGCACCGTACCGCTTCCCCACTATCCCCACCTCTAAGCAGAAGAAATTATACCAACAAAAGAGGGTTCCTGCACATCCCACCTCAATGTACTGCCAGAGAAGTAACCTGAGCCGCAGTGAGGATGTGGACCTGTCAGCTAGCTCCAGAGATCAGCTAGTGACGCAGCTAGAAACAGCTCAACAGGTTGGATGTTTCTAGGAGGCGCAAAGATACAAGCCATCTGTCATCCTGGGCGTTCACGTCCCAGGTATGTTCCTTGAGTGGGTCAGAAGACACAATTAAAGACTCAAGGCAGTCACTGATCCCCCCCCGCCAACACTCAGGAAAGCTGCTCATCTACAGAGGTTTTGTCATCTACAGAGGTTTTTTCATTTACAGAGGTTTTTTCTACAGTTTGGTTTTTTCCTAAGTGCACTTAAAACTAAGAATGCACTGCACTTCCCTCTCTGTTTTTCCAGGACTCCTTACAAACAACAGAGAGGAGGTTTTGAATCGCCTGTGAGGTGCTTTGCGGGCGGGCTCTGACTTTCCCAAGCCATGAGCAGCTGGAGGCCCAGCCCGGTGATCCTCATTAGCGACCCCCAGGAACAATCTGCAACGACTTGGCTCAGCTGCCACTTCTCAGGGGCTATTCGCCTGTTACCGGAGCTAAAAGCTAAAACCAAAGACGCAGCTCTCACACCAACATGTGCTTCATTTCGCTGTTTCTCCTACTTGCACGTCCGTTTTCACGTCTCGCTGCCTTTGACAGCTCTCCTCTTTGCCTTGTTTGGCAACTCGCACAGATGTCACCGCCTTTTCTATTTCCCCCCTCTTTTTGTTTTCCCATCTGTGTTTTCCTCACACCTTTTATTCAAGCCCCAGTTTCAGAGCTCTGCATTCCTTCCCTCCATCTGCCTTGTCACCGGTGCTCAGACGAACGACACCGCGCTGTCTCGCATCCCTCCCGTAAGCCTTTACCAATTAAACCCACGCCAGCAAGACCACTGGCCGGGGTCAGGGTTGCGTAACGCATGACCTGGAAAGCACAAAGCCCATCAGCACTGACGGGCAGCGACGACAAGTTATTTTGGGTACTAAGCAGAGTCCCCAGATGAACCCGAATGCTGGCTAAGCGTACGTAATGTATGGAGAACGAGCTACAAAGGGACGTGATGCTCCTCGTACGTGACAGTCACATGAGAAATGGTTCACAAAGGGAAGGGAAACGCACAGAGCAGGATGTAGCCCGTATTTGACAGTCAGGAGAATGCAGAAAACACACCAATGTTCTGTGACTCTGCAGTCAAGCCTGTGAATAGAAAAACTAAAAAAAAGGAGAGCGGGAGAAAGCTGCAAGCCTTATTCTGCAGGAACCAAAAGCATTTACAGCCTTACCGACTGAGAGATGAGCCACTTTGAGAGGAAACAGCGGTAACCAAAGCAGACACAGAATACAAATTCTTCGCCTAGTGCGAGCTAAATGCGTTGGCTGTGAATCTGCAAAAACCTCAGTATGTAAAAAAAACTACCTGAAGACAAAATACGCGAAGGGACTGGAAGACTCGTTAACTCCGGGAGCTGTAGTCAAAACACTGTGTCTGGGTCCCTGCGACCATGGTAATGACACTGCCCCTGGGCAAGAGACTGCATCGAAGAACCCAAACCCACAGGGATCTCTGGGGCACAGTGACCTCAGTTCAGGTAAAGTCCAAGGCAACCTTCTATTCTCCACCGATTTGGCACTACCTCCAAGAAAGCACCTTCTGCCCTAGATATTACGTTTAGCCCGATGTGTGAAACTGCTGGACTCAAAGCTGAGAGTCGCCTCACCTCTTCCAGCGTTCAGCTATTCATTCTCAGCAAGACTGAGGAAAATGAACCACACTGATCAGAAAACTCAGCATATTCAACCCTGCCAGGCAGGCAGGTCGTTTCGCAGAGCAGGAAGGCAAAGGGAAAAGAACGGGGCAGTTCTTCAGGCAAAGAGGGCAGAGGGGACACCGTGACGATGGGCAAAGTGGTCCCCAAGCTCTGCTGACCCACAGGCAGCAACACTAAGTCAGCAGCGTGCTGCGGACAGCTTTCGACTCTCGTGGAGTAACTTTTCTACTTCCACGGCACTTCACTCCTCTGCAGAGTCCCGAAGGTGACACGTGGCCAGTGTGCCACGCTTTGGGAACGACCACCCCAGAGACTTACTTTGTCTATTCTTTATTGAGGTCTGTTCTTCCTGGATTGTGGTGTCTGTGACTCTGGCAAAGGCGGTGGCTGTTGAACAGTACCCATGATGAACCAAATACGACGAAACCATACTAGAAAATAAGAAAAGACAAACAGATGAAGAGGCATTGGTAAAACAGGGTAATCACACTGGAGAGGGAAAAAAAAAAAAAATTCAACACAACAGAAGTTGTAATTTCAGTGACCAAACTCAGCTTGCTTAGGACATAACCGGGGTCCTACTTCTGGGTCCACACAGTGTAAATTTACAAGACAGGCACCTCAGCAAACAGGAGGGAGGCTCTAAATTCACCTTACGGGGGGGAAAACCAATAAAATAAGACTCCCAATGTATACACAGTATTTATTTATTTAATGACTGCTGTCCGAGGGTCACTTGTAAGTGCTCAGTACTGTGTAACTACCAGTACAGACATAAAATCTGAACCTCAGAGAGGCTCATGGCTTTCAAGCAGATCTCAAAAAAAAAAAAAAAAAAAAAAGAAAAAAAGAGATTCTGGTCCTGAATTTCTTCCATCACTTATTTTGCCAGCAATTATATCTCTGGTAGTTGAATCTCCTTATGAATTCTACACATTCACAGATACTTTTATCCGCTGATTTACAAAAAGTAGACAGTCAGCATTGATTTTACAACATTAACACACTTTTAAGTTGTATTTTCAAAAAAATGTTGGGGGGGGAGGTACTATCTCTGTCAGAAAACAAACACAACAAAAACATCTTTCTGAACAGACCATTTCTAAAGCATTTGTGCCGTCCCAGGATATGGTGGGGAAATGTTAAATGCTGACTGGATTTTAACAAAAACCTGAAAAGCCAGCATAAGATTTCAAAGTGATGAATCTCAAAATAGGCTTCTTATGACGAAGTCCAAGTCTGACCAAGACACAGCTCAAAATACATGTTCCACTGAGCTACTGAAGTACTTTATGAGTCAGCAACAATTTTCAGGCGTAAGATTGTAAGCAGGTGTGTAATTTGAAAAACCTGTTTTAAAACGAAGTGTTTCTGAGCAGTGCGGGTACAAGACATACCCTCTGCCCTTGGCATGGCGTAGTAACATCCCTCCCTGCGTCAGGCACCGCAGCCAGGTCGCCCTGGCTCAGCCAGGCTGAACACAGCGATCCAGGCTGGCAGGAACGGAGCGGGGAAAAGCCAACTCTCGCTTCAGGGTAGTTCAGTAGCCAGAGTCAGAGGCTTCACACTGCGAAGACGTAAATGCTCTACAAAGCCCCATAAAAACTGAGCTCCTCCCTATGCCACGACTGCCCGTGGCATCACAGGATGCGTCCCTGTGGGTACACAGCAGTGGTACAGGCTGGGCACCATGCCAGGCTAATTTTCAGCAAGGACTTATCAGTTCTGTGTCTCAGCTACTTACTACAACAGTGCTGCACCCTCTCAAACATTGAGCGGCATGTTTGCATCCAGGGGTACCTCTCCCGAAGTTCTGGGGAACATTATCGCACTCCACTGTAACCTACGTGAGACGTTCATGCAGACCACAAAAACCTTTCAGAATCCCAAGCTCTCCAAGGGAACAGTTTTTACTGCTTGGGAGCCAGGGCTGAAACTTGTTGAGAGCAGAAGAGCTCAAATCGCAGGAGCAGCAATCCCGGTGCTGCAGCTAGGGCTGCTTCCCTCCCCTTGAGTGGCCACGGTGGTAGTGGAGAGGCTTGTACCGTCTGTGGCTTTTCTTCTTCAAAACAGAACTCAACTGAACACTTCTCTGTACAAATTACATGAACTTCTCCTCGTTCTGCATGGTACCACCCAGATTCTCAAATGAACAGTACAAAGTCCTCACGTTTTATCAGAAAAAGGGACCTACACTGTTCCTCCTCCCATAATCAACCACACCAGCTGATCTCAAGCCTCAGATGATTCCTACTCAGATTCTTCATGGTAAGAGCTAAAAAGATTCAAGATTCTGTAAGACTGTAACAACACACAAAGAAGATGAGTTATCCATGTGAGTCCCTTGCAAGGTTTCAAGTACTTGGAAACCTTCTCAGATCAGCCTCTGCAGTGACAGCATATCCAGCAGTGTAACACAGATGAATGCATGATGTGATGCATCTTGTGATGCTTAATTGCACAGTTGGAGATTAAATCATAGAATCATAGAGTCACAGAATTATTTCAGTTGGAAGGGACTTCATAGCCCATCCAGTCCCACCCCCTGCCATGGGC